TGAAATTTCCTGCTTCATGGAAGTGTCTCTGGATACTATGGGCCTGTAGGCCGAAGATGGATGCCCCAACGGTACAGAGGAACTTTGGGTGACTGTCCAGGCACTGAGATGTCTCTGTCATTTCTAGAGTTTGGAAGTTGCTTATTTCTTATTTACTTATGTAATATTATATCCTTCTGGAGTCTTTGATGGAGTTAAAGAATATATAGATAGTTATAGTTTTCCTTAGTTATGATAAAAGATAAAGTAGATGTAAATATTGTAACTGTAATTTTAATATATATAATAACTGTTTTGTTATGTGTAATTTTGCTATGTTAAAGTTAAAGCCTTTCCTTTTTGTTTACACAGAAAAAGGGGAAATGATGGAGGAAGATCATTGGCTAATACAGAAACTGCCTTGGCCCATTTTATAGGTTAGAATATAGGTGGGTGGAGTAAGCAGAACAGAGTGCTGAAAGGAAGAGGAAGTGCGCTCAGACTCGATAGCTCTGCTCTCTGGAGCAGACACAATTCCACTCTTCTCTAGGGTAGACGCAATGAAGCTCCGACCAAGGATGGATATAGGCTAGAATCTTCCTGGTAAGCGCACCTCGGTGATACACACATTAATAGAAATGGGCCAGTCAGTGTTTAAATGAATATAGTTTGTGTGTTGTTATTTTGGGGCATAAGTTAGCCATGTGGCTAGGAGCAGGGCGGCAGGAATGCAACCCACAGCTCCCTCAACATCTAATGAGATGTGGTTATTTTCTTTCAATTTGTCTATAAGGTGAATTACATTGGCAGGTCTTCATATGTTTAACCATCCTTGCATCTCTGGGATGAAGCCTGTTTGATCATGGTGGATGATTTTTCTGGTGTGTTCTTGCATTTTGTTTGCCAATATTTTATTGACTATTTTTGCTTTAATGTTCATGAGGGAGATTGGTTGGTAAATCTTGTTTTTACTTGCATCTTTATGCAGTTTGGGCACCATGGTATCTGTCACCTCATAAAATGAAATTGGCAATATTCCTTCTGTTTCTATTGTGTGAAAAAAATGAGAAGTATTAGTATTAGCCCTTCTTTGAAATTCTGGTAGAATTCTACACTGAAATCATCTGGCCCTGGACTTTTTTTGGTTGAGAGACTTTTGATGACAGCTTCTATATCCTTGCAGGTTATAGGTCTATTTATTCTTTCATTCATTTATTCATTCATTCATTCATTTATTTTTAATTTTTTATTGAGAAAAAGAAAAAAAAGTTTCTGTCTCTTCCCAGCCTCCCATTTCCCTCCTCCTTCTCCCACTCCTCTCCCCCTCCCTCTTCAGTCCAAAGAACAGTCAGGGTTCCCTGCCCTGTGGAAAGTCCAAGGTCCTTCCCCCTCCGTCCATGTCTAGGAAGGTGAACATCCAAACTGGCTAGGCTCCCACAAAGCCAGAACATGAAGTAGGATCAAAATAGGTCTATTTAAATTGTCCATCTGGTCTTGATTTAATTTTGATATAAGGTACTTATCCAGAAATTTTCCATTTCCTTGAAATTTTCCGATTTTGGGGGGTACAGGTTTTTGAATTATGCCACGATTCTCTGTATTTCCTCAGTTTCTGTTGTTACATCCCCTTTTTTATTTCTGATTGGGGGGTGTTTTGGTTTGGTTTGGTTTGGTTTTTTGAGATGGGGTTTCTCTCTGTAGGTTTGGAAACTGTCCTGGTACTAGCTCTGTAGACAAGGTTGACCTTGAACTCTCAAAGATCTGCCTGCCTCTGCATCCTGAGTGCTAGAATTAAAGATATGGGAACTCATTTCTGATTTTGTTAATATGCATATTCTCTCTTTGCCTTCTGGTTTGTTTTAATAAGGATTTGTCTATCTCGTTGATTTTCTCGAAGAACCATCTCTTTGTCTCTGATTCTTTGTATTGCTTTTTTTTCTATTTTATTGATTTCAACCTTTAATTTCATTATTTCCTGGCATCTACTTCTCTTGGATGAGTTTGTTTCTTTTTCTTCTAAAGCTTTCAGGTATGCTGTTAAGTCACTAATGTGAGATTTGTCCATGTTCGTTTTGTCAGCACTTAGTGCTATGAACTTTCCTATCAGCACTGTTTTCAACGTGTCCCATAAGTTTGGGTACATTGTGTATTCATGTTCATTGAATTCTAGGAAGTCTTTAATTATGTTCTAATTTCTTCCTTTACCCAGGGGTGTTTCAGTTGAGCATTGTTCAATTTCCATGAGTTTATGGGCTTTAAATTAGTGTTATTGTTGAATTCTCAATTTAAGCTATGGTGAGCTGACAAGATACAGGGGGATATTCCAACTTTTTTTGTATCTGTTGAGGTTTGCTTTGTTACCAAGCATGTGGTCAGTTTTTAAAAGGTTCCGTGAGGTACTGAAAGAAGATACATTCTTTTGTGTTTTGCTGGAATGTTCTATAGATGTTGGTTAAATCCATTTAAGTCGCAGCTTCTGTTAGTTCCTTTATTTCTCTGTTAAGTTTCTGTCTGGCAGTCCTGTACAATGAGAGTGGGATGTTGAAGTCTCTCACTTTAATGTGTGGGGTTTGATTGTTATTTGAGCTTTAGTAGTGTTTCTTTTACATATGTGGGTGCCCTTGTACTTGGGGCATAGATTTTTAGAAATGAGACTATATCTTGATGAATTTTTCTGTGATGAATATGAAATGTCCTTATTTGTCTCTTTTGATTGATTTTAGTTTGAAGTCTATTTTGTTAGATACTAGAATAGCTACACTAGTTTGTTTCTTAGGTCATTTGATTGGAAAATCTGTTCCTAAGCCTTTACTTTGAGGTAATGCCTGTCTGAAGTTGAGGTGTGTTTCTTGTATGGAGAAGGATAGATCTTGTTTTCATATTCTGTTAGCTTGTGCCTTTTTATAGATGAATTGAGACTGTTGATATTAAGAGATATTAATTACCAGTGATTGCTAGTACCTGTTATTTTTGGTTTTGTCATTGTTGGTTGGTTTGTGTGTGTTTTTCTTCTTTGGGATTTGCTAGTATGGGTTTATTTGTTAGTATGCCTGTTTATTCATGGGTGTAACTAGTCTTTTCGGATTGGAGTTTTATTTCTAGCACTTTCTGTAGGACTGGATTTGTGGATAGGTATTGTTTAAATCTGATTTTGTCATGAAATACCTTGTTTTCTTCATCTATGGTAATTGAAAACTTTGCTGGGTATAGTTGTCTAGGCTGGCATCCATGGTCTCAGTATCTGCAGAACATCTATCTAGGACCTTTTGGATTTCAGAGTTTTCATTGAGAAGTCTGGTGCAATTCTCATAGGTCTGGCTTTATTTATTACTTGGCCCTTTTCCTTTGCTGATCTTAATATTCTTTCTTTTTTTTTCTGTATGTTTAGTGTTTTAATTATTATGTGGTGAGGGGACTTTTTTTTGCTCCAGTCTATTTGGTGTTCTGTAAGCTTCTTGTACTTTCAGAGACATGTCCTTATTTACGTTGGGAAAGTTTTTTTTATGATTTTGTTGAATATAGTTTGTGTGTCACTAAGCCAGACGTCTTCTTCTTCTATGCCTATTATTCTTAGTTTTGGTCTTTTTATGGTGTCCCAGATTTCCTGGATATTTTGTGTTAAGTAGTTTGTAGCATTTAACATTTTCTTTGACCAAGGAATCTATTTCATTTATTATATCTTTGACACCTGAGATTCTTCCATCTCTTGTATTCTTTTGGTTATGCTTGCATCTGTAGTTTCTGATTATTTACCCAGATTTTCTATTTCCAGAATTCCCTTGGTTTATTTCTTTATTGCTTCTATTTCAGTTTTCAAGTCTAAAACCATTTTCTTCACCTGTTTATTTGTCCCCCCCCCTTGGCTTTTTTCTTTTATTTCTTTAAGGGATTTGTTGATTTCTTCCAATTTTTCATTTGTCTTTTCCTCCACTTCTTTAAGGGAATCTTTCATTTCTTCTTTAAAGGCTTCTATCATCCCCTCCAGTCCTAAGAAAGAGCAAGGCACCCTGCCCCATGGGAAGTCCAGTGCCCCCCCCCACATCCAGGCTTAGGAAGGTATGCATTCAAAGAGAATAGGATCCCAAAAAGCCAGTACATGCAGTAGAGACAAATCCCAATGCCATTATCATTGGCCCCTCAGTCTGCCCCAATTGTCAGCCACACTCAGAGGGTCCAGTTTGATCCCATGCTTGTTCATTCCCAGTCCAGCTGAAGTTGGTGAGCTCCGAATTAACTCAGGCACACTGTCTCAGTGCGTGGATCAAGCCCTCGCAGTCCTGAATTCCTTGCTCATATTCTCCCTCCTTATGCTCTTCAACTTGACCTGGGAAGTTCAGTCCAGTGCTCCGATGTGGTTCTCTGTCTCTGTCTCCATCCGTCGCTGGACAAAGGTTCTGTGGTGATATTCAAGATAGTCATGGGTCCACGGGGATGACCCTAGCTAGAGGTGCCTGAACTTGCCTTGTCCCGTAAAACCCATCACTTTTAAGAGCAGCATTATCCAGCCTTGCAAGATTCCTTTCCTCTCACTCTCCTAATAAGGTAGTACTTTTCATGTGACATTTTTATACACCTTTAATTTAGGTTAACTCTTCCTCCCTCCCCACTTCATCTCCACTTTTTTCTCTAGTCCATGAATTTCAGTTTGAACTCAGGTCATCAGCATTGGCAGCAAGTGCCTTTACACGTCCCTATAGTACATTTCACTAAACATACAAAAAAAATTCCATAAATAAACACCCAGATACGGTGGCAATTTTTGAGATAACGAATGTCTGCAACCTGATGAATTCATTAAATTGGATATAAGAAACAAAAGTTTTGCATTACGGTTATCAGGAAGAGGGAGCAAAAAAGTTAAAGGCATAAAGAGAAGTATTAGCAGAATTATAGGGAAAAGTATTTAGGAAATAGCAATCATATTTGTAGTGGTTTTGGCATATAACAAGAATGTTATCAAAATAATCATGAAGTCATACATACATAGATTTATACAAACATTTATTTTTTCCATGGGGAAATTAATAGTTGGATTTCATGTGTGCACGACCAATTTTGTATGGGATTTCTGGTTCGACATAAGCTGAGTATGACTTTTCTTTTGGAATATAGGTTGCTCTTTGGGGCCCAGATGTGGAAAAATCCTGCAAAGAAGTTAAAATATCAAAGTAATTGCATGACATTTCATAAAATACCTAAGCTTGCTTAGATATGCCAATGTATTATAAAATTAAAAACTGTTTAGTTGCTTTTATAAGTTCATAACTATATAAACAATACAATATTTATTTTATTCAATTAATGTTAGCTGATTTTAAATAGCCACTAAATACATGTGCTATAATTCTTCTAAACTGGCTCAGATAATGTGCAATCCAAAATCTCTTCACTACAATAAGTATCAAACATTGCTAGGTAATACATATATAAGAAGAACAAGTAGTTTTGTGATATTATCATTCCAAAGTTCATTCTGTTACTGTATAAGATGAATGTTAGTACATCCATGAGTAAGTCTCCTAGCATTTAATCAGTTCTTGTTGTTTTCAAATCTCTTTTCTAATTTAAATATTTTTATAAATTTAAATATTTTATATATAATTATACAAATTAATATAATGTATACATTAATATGTACTATATATATTATACATTCTATATCTTTGACTCCTGTTTCCTGATTCCATTATACAAATTGAAGTAGTAGGTATAGTGATTCGCATAAAGTCAATTTTCTAAACCTATATCTGAAGTGATTTTGTTATATCATTTTATCATTATGAATGCCAATGATCACTGCATCATCTGCATTGGAATTATGATAAGGGTGACCATAAATAAAAATTAAAATGTTTTCTACATACAAAGTTTGGCCTCATAGGTGTGGTTGGCAAAAAGTTGTTTCCATAGTTTACAGCAGGCTTAGTTGATCCTGGAGAGCCATTCCAGTTAGGAGCTGGATAGTTGTAAAGTATGCCTTCTTTGCATTCTTGAGCAAAATAGCTATTTTAAAAACAAAAAATTAGAATGCTTCAAAATATAAAGTATGCATATAATGTTAAATTATTATAATGCAATAGATTACTATGACTGTACTCTACATGAAATGAATGAGGTCATGCAGAAGTCATTAGATTGAAACAAAAGGCATAGCGAAATGATGGTGTATTCGTAAGACAGAAAGTACTAAACCATTTTTCTTTTAATCATATTACAAAAACTAGAGACTCTATAGGGAATAGTCCCTATGTTCTTTCTCAGAATGCCTATGAAATTGGGATGCTTAGACAAATGGGAAGCACGGCATCAAAAGCTCTACAGTTTAATTTTGATCACTACTGGGGTTTTCCTCAGGCAATATGCTAAAAAGCCATCTTTTACTCTGACAAAAACATAGATATTCACAGTTAGAAACAGTGTTATCTCTATGCCTGTTTGTCTCTGCAACTTTGCCTCCTACAAAAAAAGTATACAAGATTAAACTGTTGAAAGCAAATATTTCCAAATGAGATACTCTTGTCTTTCTTTTCCAGTATTTGTATTTTTCACTTCCCTTTTATAGGATTGAAAGCTTACTTGGAGTTTGTTCTTGATAATTGTGATGATGGAGAAAAAGAACTTCCAGAAAAGGGTTCCTGGTAGATTAGACTCCAGGGATTCTACATAGACATTTTTTGCAAGAGAAAAAAAATGGTTAGTCATGATTTTAAGGAAATGTATATTACAGTGTACAATTGCTTACATTGCATCTCCATGTTAATATGTAACTATCATGATAGTTCTAAGCCATTTCCTACAGAATGAGAAGTGAACAAAAGTAGGTAACGATACTAGAAACTTTTTAAGCATCTATTAATCTAGGTATCTGTTAACTATAATCTGCTTGTTACCCATCTAGTAATAAAGAATAGTATTCTGAAAATGTGTAAATAGGAGTTACACTTCAGACATAATCTACGCATTAACTAATGCTTTTAACCAAAGATTAAATTTAAGCCCATCTTTCAACTGTCATAATGTGAAAAACTTATAAAACACAGCTGACAATACTTTGAGGGGAGAAAATTTATGTTAAATAAGAACTACAGCATCAAACAGCTACAAGTATACTGTAATAGATTTTTTGGAGGGATTTTTGATTTTCTGATTTCATTTTATATTCCATCCACAGCTCTCCCCCACCCCTACTCCCACCACCCTGTCCCTCCAGGGCCTCCCCCATCTGCTTTTTCCAAAGGGTATAGGTTCCCATGGGAAGTCAACAAAGTATAGCATATTAAGTTGTGGCAGGACCAAGTTCCCCCTCTCCTGAATTACTATAATGGATTTTTAAGAAAATGAAAATCTATGCAAATCAATTGATAAAGACCAAAGTACACCGAATGCATGTGCAAGAACCCAACTGCAAGAGTATGGTTTTTGAAGCAAGATACTCACATTTTAGTAAAGTTAGGAGGCATATAAAATGAATCTAAGTCTATGCAGTATCTATTCTTTTAGGCTCAGAAATTATGCATACACATATATTGTGTTGTGACTATTTAGACAGCCATTCTCAAAATAAAGGATAAGTGTACCTAGCCACTTTGGTACAATTAATTTGACAATGGGAAGCTTCAGATAGTCTATAAAACTACACATATACTTTGACATTAAAATGGATAAATGATGTGAAACATATATGATGGTCCATCCCTAGTTTTCAGGTCTTATGCACAAACATCCTAGAGGGGTTAAGAATCTTTGAGTAATAGTAATATTAAAGATAATAAAGAGATTAAATTTCATCTGAAAAGGCCCACTGACAAAGAAAAATGAGACTGACCCTTTATTTTTCTTGCATTGTTTAAGATTTTTTTTCTGTTTCTGGGCTCCTTTTTTTTGCTTTATTTTCAAAAACTTCCTCAGGACAAAATAAAATACAATGATGAAACACAAAAGAAAAGGCATAGCTTCTGAAAAGACTCTGGTGAAACTTGGTCAGAAAGACAAGATGATATCTATGGTCTTTCTTGCTCATGCTCTGACTTCACAATGAATAGAATCATGCATGTCTCACGTCTTAAAGGGGTCACTTTTCTTTCCATGGTGGACTTAACCTCTTTGGTTCATGCCTTTTCCTCTGTGGTAGAAGTGTGGACTCGAGGTCATGAATGAAGATTCTTTAGTTTCAGTAATGTAGATGTGTTTTTTGGGGGGAAGGATCCCATAACAAACTGTTATGCTTCCTAATGATACAGAATTATTGTACTCTTATACAGTTTAACTTGTTTATTTGGGGCCTATTTTTTTAACTTTTCAATATTTATGTGTATTAGTGGATTTTGACTGTATGTATGTCCCTGTGTGTATAATCCATGCAGGACAGAAAGGGTGTCAAATTCCCTGGAACTGGAGGTATGAATGGTTGTGAGCTGTCATGTGATTACTGCGAATTGAACTCAGGTCCTCTGGAAAAGCACCCAGTGCTCTTAACCACCGAGTCATCACTCCAGCCATTGACTTAATTTAAATTCATTACTCTACACCTAGCCTTATTCCAAGTAAGCAGACACAACAAAGTACTTTAGACAAAACTTGAAAGTAAACATATATAGAATAATGAAGGCCAGAGAGAAACTGAAATAGTAAAATGATGTATTTTTAAACTCAAGCCTTTGGGTTGGTAGTAAAGGCATCATTGATAAGATTATGACACTCCACTATTATACACACATGAAAGTCAAGAAAGATCACCAGCTAGTTAGTAAAGACATTTTTTCCAGAATTAATAACTATCAGTCAGTATCATCTATTTCTAATGAAAAAATTGTAAGAATGATAATGTCAGTAATAATTACAGGAAAATAGCAGATATAAGAAATGGAGTCACTTTGCTTTGAAGTCTAACAGTAGTTGAACCCAAAGCTGAACCTCTTACATACTCCAGAAGCATGAAAAATGTCGGTTTGACTTTCTACATGAAGAATGTTTCTTTTATGTCATATTTCAGAAAAATTTGAAACACCACATTCAGCATTAGAAATTGATTGTTTTACATCCATGTTGATGCAGTGAGAGTAAGGGGTGGAAGCAACCTATGGCATACCTCATCAATTTTAAATAGCAAAGAGAAAGCTATGTGGAGGGATCCATCAGGGTACAAGAGAACAGGGGCCATCAGAACAAACATTTAAATGAATAATCAAAGAGTATAAATACCATCTGTGTAACATAAAAGTGAAAGAAATTAAGAGAAATTGAAACTCATGATTGTATTATGAAGAATCAAATAATCTCAGCGGTAAAAAAAACAATGACATCTTGAATTTTGAATGAAAATGGTTGGAAATAAAAAAAAAAAACACTAACCTGAGTGAGGTAACCCAAACCCAAAAAGATGAATATGGTATGTACTTACTCATAAGTGGATTCTAGACATAAATAAAGGACATTGAGCCTATAATTTGTGATTCTAGAGAAGCTAAAAAAGAAGGTGAACCCAAAGAATAACATATAGTTATCCTCCTGGATATTGGAAGTGGACAAGATTGCCAGACAAAAGTTAAGAGCAAGGGGGAGGGGGAGGGGTAAGGAAAAGGAGAGAAGGGGAGAGAGAAGAGAGAAGGGGAGGATGGGGAGAGCTTGAGGGAATGGGATAGTTGGGATGGAGGAAGGGTGGATGAGGGAGCAGGGAAGTAGATATCTTAATTAAGGGAGCCATTTTAGGGTTGGCGAGAGACTTGACTCTGGAGGGGTTCCCAGGTGTCCAAGGAGATGTCCCCAGCTTGTTCCTTGGGCAGCAGAGAAGAGGGTGCCTGAACTAGCCTTATCCTATACCTACACTGATGAATATCTTGCATATCACCATAGAACCTTCATCTGGCGATTGATGGAGATAGAGACAGAGACCCACATTGGAGCACTGGACTGAGCTCCCAAGGTCCATATGAAGTGCAGAAGGAGGGAGAACATGAGCAAGGGAGTCAGGACCGCGAGGGGTGCGTCCACCCACTGAGACGGTGGGACTGATCTAATGGGAGATCACCAAGTCCAGTTGGACTGGAACTGATGGAGCATGTGATCAAACCGGACTCTCTGAATGTGGCTGATGGTGGAGGTTGACGGAGAAGCCAAGGACAATGGCACTGGGTTTTGAATCTACTGCATGGACGGGCTTTGTAGGAGCCTAGTCTGTTTGGATGCTCACCTTCCTGGACCTGGGGGAAACAGGGAGGATCTTGGACTTCCTATAGGGTAGGGAACCCTGACTGCTCCTTGGACTGGAGAGGGAGGGGGAGGATGAATGGAGGGAGGGGAGGAAAGAGGGAGGAAGGAAGGAGGTGGAAATTTTCAATAAAAAATAAATTAATTAAAAAACCCTAAGATTATAAAAAAAATAATCAAATAATCACATGCTTGAAGATATGGAAGTACATCTAATCTAACTGGAACAAGCTGACTAGGAGCCTATTGTAAGTCACAGACAAAGAAGCTGTTCTCTTTTTTTTTCTCATAAATTTCAATGATGTTTTGCCAAATTTTAAATAATACAGGTCATCTCTATGATAGTAATACCTGGGACCAGAAGAACACTGTGCATCATGGATAGGATAAGATACAAGTTTCTCAAAGGAAGTTAATCATTTTAAAATTCATGATTTAAAAAAATTCAGAGGTTCCAAAGCAATATTCAGCCTATACTGCAATTGCCCTAGTTTTTTATACTTTCCTCAAGTTTGTAAATCCTTCTCCATGATCTTTCTTCTCAACTGATAACCTCACTTCTTAAAGAGTATATTTAGGGAGGTAAACTAGTCCCAGGAAGATAAAACACCACACATGCTCTATTGTTTGCTGATCCGAGTTACAAGTCTTCAGATGCTGAGTATACAACATGGAGCAACCACAGAAACCACAAATGTAAAGGAGCCATAGGGGAATAGCAAGATGCAGGTGATAGAAAGTAGAAAATGGAAAAATGGGGCGGTAGGTTCCAAATAGGATGTAGAAGAGAGAGCAATACAGGAGGGGGAAGGATAAATAATGCCAAGGTTGTTTGAAAAAACTTCAAGGAATCATTATTTTATAGTTACCAAAAATTATACATATAAGTGTATGTGTATATATATGTATATAATATATATCTTAAAAGATTTTATGAGCTAGAGTTGTAATTGTCTCCCTAAAGAACCATAGGCTGACAGAAACTCAGAACTAGGCTCAAAAAATCACCTTTGAAATAGTTGTTAAAAAGCCGGGTGGTGGTGGCACACAACTTTAATCCCAGCACTCGGGAAGCAGAGACAGGCATATCTTTGTGAGTTGGAGGCCAGCCTGGTCTACAAGAGCTAGTTACAGGACAGGCTCCAAAGCTACAGAGAAACCCTGTCTTGAAAAAAAAAAAACAAAAATAAAATAAAATAGTTGTTAAATGTAGTACGTATGACTCACCAATTAATATTGACTATGACTGGTGCCTTCAGATATTGAAGGAAAGCTCCTATTGCTGAAGATACTTGACATTTAGGACACAGGACCTGTATAATTTGAATGGGATCTAATTTGAAAGCATTCTTTCTGTGGTCTAGCTTCCATAGTATCAGAAAATACTATACAAGTTGCCAAGAAACAAAAACAATTAATAGTCCTTCTTTTCCAGGTACCAGCTACGAACCACAA